GATAGTATAGATCCAATACCCAAGGCTAGTTTCAGAAGAATTTCAGGATATGATGCCAGAACAGCTACCTAAGGTCTTACCACCCTGCCAAGTTGTTGATCATGAGATAGAATTACTCCCAATCAAAAAGCTGTTGATCAACGTACAAAAGGGGTATATAAGATGGCTTTTCTAGAGTTAGCAAAACTAAAGAAGCAATCAGACAAGTTGATTCAAGCCAAATTCATCCGACCATCTAAGGCACCATTTGGGGCCTCAGTACTCTTTCAAAAATGGCAAGATGAGAGTTTACGGTTGTGTGTGGATTTCCAAGCATTGAACAAAGTCATAATCAAGAATAAATATCCAATTCCCCTTATAACAAATCTCTTTGACTAGTTGAGTCGTGCAAACTAGTTCTCCAAATTATATTTGAGATCAGGCTACCATTAAGTAAAAGTTTCCAAGGGAGATGAACCAAAAGCCACATACGTCACACGATATGGTGCATTCGAATTTCTTGTTATGCCTTTTGGACTAAAATGCTCTTGCCACCTTTTGTACGTTGATCAATCAGCTTTTCCATGATTATTTAGACAAGTGCACAGTGATCTACTTGGATGATATCGTAATGTACAATTCAACCTTGGAGAAGCATCAAAGGCACTTATGGCAAGTCTTCCAAAGGTTGCCCGACAACCAGTTATATGTGAAAATAGAGAAATGTGCATTTACGCAAACTCGAATTTAGTTTCTTGGTCACATAATCGAATAGGGGCACATTCGGATGGATATGCAAAAGGTATAGGCTATCAAAGAATGGGCCACCCTTAAAAATACAACTAAACTTTATTCGTTCTTAAGGCTAGCCAATTAATATTGAAGATTCAATGAAGGATATTCAAAAAGGATGGCAGTACTCACAAAATTACTAAAAAAGGTGCAAAAATGGATATGGACTCCATAGTGCCAAGTGGCTTTCGACGGCTTAAAAGATGGGATGATGACAAACCTTGTTTTAGCATTCCCCGATATTGAAAAAATTTTCAAGGTACAGACAAATGCATCAAACTTTGCCCTTGGAGGAGTGTTGTTACAAGAAGGACATCCATTGCATTTGAAAGTTGTAAGTTGAATGAAGTTGAGAGGAGATACATGGCACAAGAGAAAGAACTACCAATAATGATTCATTGTTTACGAGCCCGACAACACAACTTGTTTGGATCACAATTCATAGTTAAGACAAACAACATCGTTGTAAGTCACTTCATCATTTAGCCAAAACTTATAGCTAAGTAAGCGAGATGGTAGGAGTTCTTGGGCGAGTTTAATTTCTCTTTCGAACACAAAGTCAGAAAGGTGAATCATGTGGCAGACACCCTCAACAAGAAGGTCAAATTCATAGCTCTCAAAGTGATTTCACTGACGACAGCCAGCAAAGTAACTACAGATATCGATAATCTTATTGAAGAAAACTTACATCAAAATCCCTAAGCAATTGCCATTTTGAAATTGGTGGAGAGTGGAAAGTCAAATTGCTTTTGGGTGGAAAATAAACTCTTATTAACTAAACGACCATCCATATTTGTTCCAAGAGTAAGAGAACTAAGGCAGAAGTTGATACGCAAATGTTACGACACCCTTTGGGTAAGATATCCTAACTAGCAGTGGACCATTTCACTACTAATATAAGGTTACTATTGGCCTTATATGGGGTAAGATGTGATGGATCATACCAAGACATGTCTCATTTGCGAACAAAAAAAAGTGAAAAGATAAAGACAGACTGGAATGCTCGAACTTTTACTAGTACCAACCAAATTATGAAAAAATATTTCTCTAGACTTTATAGTAAGACTCCTCAAGGTAGGAGATATGACAGTGATCCTGGTTGTGGTGGACCATTTCTCAAAGTACGCGACATTCACCCGGACGCAAAAATTTGGATCCACAGAAGAAATGGCTCACCAAATTTCATGTGGTAAAATATTAGGGTATTTATTCTTAATAGCTTTATCTATGTTAGGGATCCAAGGTTTATCGATTTCTTCTGGAAAGGGTTTTTCAAGCTATTGTGGTCAGAACTCAATATCTCTTTAGGTTATCACCTATAAATAGATGGTCAGACAGAACGCTTCAATGGGTTGCTAGAAGAATATCTACGACACTTTGTATAAGTGAACTAGAAGAATTGGTTGAACCTGTTAGATGTGGCTTAACTATGTTTCAATTCACAAAACAGCTCAACCAGTAATAAAACCCCTTTCGAAGTCATCACCAGTTAGCAACCTAGACTTCCCCTTACCTTATAACAATAAGAGTCCCAAAGCATTTAACTTTGCTAAAGAGTGGAGACAAAACACTAAATTTACTAGAGCATATTTAAAGAAAGCCTCCAACAGCATGAAAAAGTGGGCAAATAAAGGTCGAAGGGAGTAACACATTAAGGTGGGAGACTTGGTGCTAGAGAAGTTGGTACCCGATCAACCTCAATTTTTAAGGAAAAAAGATAGAAGATTAGTGCGGAAGTATGAAAGGCTAGTACCGATTATGGCTACGGTGGGGAAGACTTCCTACAAGATTGATCCGCTCAAGTGGATGAAGGTACAGCTTATGTTTCACATCAGCAACTTGAAATCGTTCCATGTAGATCCAACAGATGCAAGAAAGAGTCAAGCCATTAAAGCCGCCATTAGTACCAAGCCACCATCAGAACATAGAGTAAAAGAGACTCTTACAGGGAAAATGATGATAATCAACCAAAGACCAACATAAGAGTACTTAGTGAGATAGGCAGGTTTGGGGTCGAATGAAATCACCTAGGAGAAAAAAGTCGATCTTTACTTCGTCAAGCAAAAGATTGAAGAATTCCAAGCCAACTAGTCAATGAGGATGTCGACAGATTAAGTGGGGGAAGATGTCATGTGCCAACCTTATATAGGGCCATGACAAGATAGAATGCCTTTGGAGTTTAAGTCTTTTGTACTTCCAAGGCAAATGTCTCCCTTTCAAACATTGTAATGGCACTTAGTGACACTTATAGAAATTCTTGTTAAGTCTTTAACGGGAAGACCATTTAGGAAATGGATGTCCCCATCTTAATCATTGTAATGGCTATAGGTGAAATACTTCCAAAATCTTCATAAACTTTTTATAGGCGTAAGCAGTCGACAGATTATTGGGCTACCTTATAGGTAAAGATATGTTTGTTGCAAATCATCTAAGGCTGAGTGTCTTGGTCCTTTTGTACTCATTTTCATATTAATAAGACATCTTCCTTTATGTGGCTTCGGTGGTTGCATATTTGGCATTTGGTATGCCTTATGATTTTGATGTGCATCGCCCTTAGTCTAATTTGTTGCTATTGTTGATGTTTGATTAGATATAAACGAGTTATTGACTAGCTTACGTGGAAGGGTCGACTCAAGTGTTGCACAAACTATCGCACACTTAAGTAAAGAAGCATAATACGTGACACTAAGCATATAAAGATAAAATATTACACAATTAAAGAATTTATAGAAAAAAGGTGACATTTTAGTAAAGTATATTTATATTGATGATAAGATAGTTGACCTTTGACTAACTGGTTGTGCCTTGTCAATATCAAGAAACATATTTGACATGAGCATTGAGGAGTTTATTAATGTACTTGGTTAGTGGGAGGATTTGACATTATTTTGTACTTTCTGCACAATTGTTTGGAATACATCTTTGATGATATGTATGGATTTATTATGAATAATGATTATTTAATGATATTTAGTCATAAAGATTCTATGTACGTATATACGTATTTACATATATGCAGACTTAAGACATGTCTCAGTCTTAAGCATAGGTTGGGGCATAAATTTACAGCCTTAAGGGCATGTCTTTGACACATAAAGTATATCTACAAATATTTAACGCAGAAATATAGGTTTACTAAATAAACCATAAAGGATATCTCCTGCAAGCATTGGCTGAATAAAGTAAAGAATAAAGTGACTAACAAAAGAATACAACACATTAATATAGATCATTAAGGAAGTATTGTTAATCATTGCTACACCACCACATTGAGTTCATATCGATAAGATTATAGTTGGTGCTATATCTTTGTAGATGTAGTTGTTTTTGTTTTTATATATCACAAAAGTTTATTGAACAAAACGGTACTTGGCGTAGTCTCAAGACCAATTTGTTTTCAAAATTAGGCTCATAAAGTTTTTGGTTGTCTTAGCTTGCGTTGATTTCAAGAATTTTGTTTTTAAAATTTAAATTTAAATATTGTATTGCAAGTGGGAGATTGTTAAATTTTCTAGTAAAATCTTTGAGTGGACTTACATTATTTATTTTTGTATTTTGTCAAAATTAGGCTAGCATAATTTGGTCTTTATAAAGGGACAATATTATAGTCCATGTTATGATCTAATAAAGTGGGCTAGACTCTAATGTTATAAGTGGGCTTAAAAGCATAAGCTTGTATAGAAAGCCCTAAATCCTATGATGAGTGAGATTAGAAATTCATCATATAAAAGTAAGGCTAAGTCCCCTCTCTTGTGAACAATAATATAAAAATCTCACCTATTAGAAAGTCATAAAGAAAAAGAGAGGAAGATCCTAGTGCACTAAATACCACCAGTTAATCTGGTCAGTATTATTTCCACTATTAAACTATCGATCATGGATCATAAATCAGATACGCTCTGTGTTTTAAATTCCTACTATATTAGATCATGGATGAGTATAAATCATTTATACATAAAGTTTTTCAGTTATTCCTTCCATAGTAATGGACTACTTTTTTTTAATTCTATGTTTATAATGCAAGTAAATTTATTGTATTACCCTCGTATTGAAGTACTTGATATGTTTTTTAATCTTTAAATTGAATCAGTTTGAATGCTGACATGTCATGATTTCTTAAAATACATTTTGCAATTGCATATTGCAAAGTGCTTAAAGAGATTAAAAGCGCAAACAAAAGAGAAATAGAAGGTAGGAAATAATAATAAAAGTGAAAGACAAGTCAAGAATTCTGTTGTAAAACATTGGGCTCAGTTATATGGCTGGTAGAGTAGTGAGCTGTTGCTGAAGCTAGAAGTCAGGCGCTTAGTTACCCTTCCCATGGACAAATGTCATTACTATAACTCTCTCGCATTCAGAGCGCAGTCCAAGGTATACACATAATACATGATTACAAAGTGGCCTGCATATTATGTACCAAAAAAAAAGAAAAGCCGGCATATATTATTCTGACAATCCGGCTAGCCTCAGAACAAAGAAAGGAAAGGGACAACACTGGCCTGCGTTATTCATATGTTACATTACTCGCATCATAATATTACCGGTGCATATCTAAGAGGCTTGATATTAACTATTGGATGATATTACGTTACACCTAGAGTTGATAAAGATGATCGGGAAGGCGAGGAGTGAGGACAAGTTGAAGAGGAGTTGCCTTGGGCATGTTGCCTCCTGGCTCTTCAGTCATATCCACTGGAGCATTTAAGGGTGTTGCTAAATCAAATCCTTGAAGCAAGCGAGCAATTGTCAAGCGTATCACTTGCAATGCCCAACTCATCCCTGGGCAAGATCGTCTACCAGAACCAAAAGGAATCAGCTCAAAATGTTGGCCCAGAATATCCACGTTTTGATGGCTTGTGAGAAATCTTTCGGGCTCAAACTCCTCAGGATTCGACCAAATTCGTGGGTCTCGTTGCAACTTCCATACATTCACAAACAAACGAGTGCCCTTTGGAATGTCGTAGCGGCTAATACGACAATCTTCCATTGCCTCATGGGGAACTGA